GCAAGTATCGAGGTTGGTGGAGGGGGTCAATGACGTCACGTTTCGTGCCAGCGGCGTCTGGGAATGCTTAGGAATGACGGAGGACGGGTAGCGCTAGCATGTAGGTGGCGATTTGCACCACAGCCTGTGTGCACCACAGCACCTGCGTGCACCACAGTTCCTGTGTACACCACACCGCCGATGTAAAAAAAACAGCAGCCGCGTGCAACACAGCATCAGTTTGCGCCACCGGGCCTGCGGGCACAACAGCTCTTGTGCACACCACAGCGCTTGCGTAGACCACATCAGCCGTGTGCAACACAACACCAGTCTACACCACAATGCGTGCGTGCACTGCAGTGCCTGTGTGCACCACGGCGCTTGTGCTCACCACAGCAATCGTGTGCAACACAGCACCCCTTTTTGCATGTTGAATGTTAGAACGAATCCTTATCAAAAATGAAGCGCATGTGGATTTCACAGAAAACAATATAAAACAATATGTAGGTACAACGCCCGAGTCCGCCCGCATCACCCTAACTCCTCCCATCTGCGTCCAGGAGGCTCCAGCTAAACCGGCCGTCCGAGATCCAAGTGGACCGATTGAGTAGACCATTCTGCCCCGCACGACAGTGGGTAAGGAGGAGGAGGAGGAGGAAAAGGAGGAGGAGGTGGTGGAGGTGGAGGAGGAGGGAGGAAGGAAAAACGTCGTACTCGATTATCAGCACTTTCCTGGCGTGGCGTCTAGTTGTCCGCAGCAGATCCTCACGTACATGCTCCTTCTACCTGTTCTATGCGCGCAGGCATTGTGGTGTACACCAGCGCTGCGTTGCACGCGGATGCTGTGGTGTAGACACGCGCTGTGGCGTGCACAGGCGCTGCGGTGCACGCAAGCATTGTGGTGTACACAAGCGCTGTGTTGCACATGGTAGCTGCGATGTACACATGTACACCGGCGCTTTAGTGTATGCAGGCACTGTGGTGTACACAGGCGCTGTGTTGCACATGGTTGTTGCGCTGTACGCAGGCGCTGTGGTATACACGCGCGCTGTGGTGCACGCGAGCGTTGTGGTGTACACAGGCGCAGTGGGGCATATCACCACCTACATGCTGCTCGCGTCGTCGTCGTCGTCGTCGTCGTCGTCGTCGCTCGTCCCTCGTCACGTCGCGCGCGCGGGCGCGGCTGCGGTGCCAGAGCCACACGGCGGGTGGGGGCGTTACGTCATACCCCCCTCGCCCCCTCCCCTCCCCCATGATGCTCGTCATCGCCGAACAGAAAGAAACGCGTTCCACCTGGCCTCATGTGTTTTTTGTTGTCCGTCCTCCCTGGTGGCACGGCGCCGCCGAGGAGTCGATCACCCCCCCAGCAGGGACTACTGCTGGGGGGGGCCAGGGCGCGTTCGAACACCTCAAAGGCCGTGAGTCCTGAATCTTTAGGAGGAGGCCTCTTGGGGTTCCTTTCGGAGCCCTCTTGGGGCGCCTCCGAAGCCGCTATGGCCGTCTTGAGTCCATCTTGTGTGTGTTTCACGATTCCTCGGCGTTTTGGGTGTGAGCCAGCTTGGATGGAATCTTGTGTATCGTGGAGGCCACGAAGTGTAGATCTGGAGGCTCTGGAGGCCGCAGGTGTGTGGTGACGAGCTCTGTCCCCCCCCCCCTGCCCCCCTCTGAAGTGTGATGTTTGGCCCGAGGGGAGGGGGAAACAGGGAGGGCGACAGCCAATCATCTCTCTCACACGCCTTCGCCCCTGGTAAGCGGGGGTCGGCAGACTGGAACCTCCAGGATTGCGGTGCACAAGTCTGCTTGAAGCCTGGAGCATCGAGACGGGAGGAAGGTGCCACAGGCGTGTGTGAAAAGGCGTCGAGGGCCTGGGCAGGGCAGACGAGTGAAGCGCCGAGTGCTCAACGTTACCTCGGGGATATTCGTTCTTGAGTAGGGCGTTGCGGAATGGACCTCGTCTTCAGCGGAAGGCTGGTGGAAGGCTGGCGGCAGCCAGTGCAAGCAAACTAGCCGCGGGCCCCCCAGCGGAAGTCGGACTCAGCAAGTGGTGCAATGTCAACATCCGTGGGCCCACGGTTTCCAAAGTCGGCCAGGCAGTTCGGAGTTGTCGGCCCGTAGGTACCCCTTCACTCTGGGTGGGGGCGGAAAGGTCGGTTTCCTCTGGCTTCAGCAGCCCTGGTGAATTGAAGAAGGCCGAGAACGTTGGAGTCGATAGTGGCCCCTTCGGTTTCATACGGAGTCATCCGTAGAGCTTCGGCCACACCACGAGGAGGAGGACTGGCCGATGGTGAGGCCGGTGCAGAGTCGAGCCAAGATAGGCCTGGAACACGATCGTTCGGGATACGTTAGGGGGGCATCTTGCAGGGGCTGGGCAGGCAGGCAGGCAGACAGGCAGGCAGGCATGCGGGCGGGTGCGGAGAAGAAAACACCTGTCCCGTCTCCTTCACTCCCCCCTTTGCTGCGGTCACCTTCCTCCTCCTCCTCCTCCTCCTCCTCCTCCTTCTCCTCCTCCTCTTCCCCCTCCTTCCTCCTCCTCTTCCTCCTCCTCTTCCCCTCCTCCTCTCCTCCTCCTGCTCCTCCCTCCTCCTCCTCCTCCTCCTCCTCCTCCTCCTCCTTCCCTGGCTCGTGCGTCCTGGCTGTCTGCCATCCCCATCCTGACAGATGTGCTCTCCGCCCCGATCATGTGCTGCGATGTCTTAACGCAGCACGTGGTCGTAGAAGCTGGACCTGTGGACACCGCCTCTTCAGTGGCGCCCCTCCTCTTCGCCGCCATGCCTTCTGCCAACGCCTCCCGCCACCTCCACCTTCTCCTCGTTCTCCTTCTCCTTTCCTCCTCCTCCTCCTCCTCCTCCTTCTTCCTCCCTCCTCATCCTTCCTCCTCCGTCCCTCCTCCCTCCTCCCGCCTCCCGCCTCTCTCCTTCCGCCTCTCTTCTCCCTCCTCCCTCCTCCTCCTCCCTCCTTTTCCTCGTCCTCCTCCTCCTCCTCCTCCTCCTCCTCCTCCTCCTCCTCCTCCTCCTCCTCCCCCCTCGCCTCCTCCTCCTTCTCCTCCTCCTTCTCCTCCTCCTCCTCTTTCCGTCTCGTGAAGTGTCAGGGCCCGGGGATGCGCACGTGCAGCTCCAGAAGGCAAGGAGGCAGGTCTCGGCCGCCCTCCGCAGCGCGGGTCAGCCCGGGGTGCGTTTGCTGTGCCGTGTCAGGGGTTCTCCGTGACCCGAGCGGGTCAGAAAGCTCCTTGGCCGACAGATCTGCGATTGTTCGTTCAAGTGAGGCTCACAGGTTCCTGTTGCCGAGTGGGTTATGAAATATAATCATTGCTTCAGTTTGCAGTGCTTAGGCACTGGTTTCGTGCTGAAGAGCGACGTGTTATGACACGGTCCGTGCACCTTGGACGACAAGGGAGGAGGCGGTGGATGAGGATAATGAGGAGGAGGAGGAGGAGGAGGAGGGAGGAGGAGGAGGAGGGGAGGAGGAGGAGCAGGGAGAGGATAGGAAAGAGAGGAGGAGGACAAGGACCTAAGGAGGAGGAGGAGGACGAGGAGGAGGAGGGGGAGGAGGAGGAGGAGAAGGAAGAGGAGGAGGAGGAGGAGGAGGAGGAGGAGGAGGAGGAGGAGGCGAAGGAGGAGGAGGAGGAGGAGAAGGGAAGGGCCCCCCTGGCGAAGTCACTCCTCACCTGGCAGCGCGGGCCCCTCGGCCTGACGGGCTATCCTCACAGTGGAGGTGGCGACAGGGACCAGGAGTACGAGCCCGACAAGGTCTTTGTCGGCCACCTGTCCCGCGACGCCACGGAGGAGGACATCAGGGACGTGTTCGGCAAAATCGGCAAGGTCGGCGGGCGCGCGACGCGATCAAGAGATGTTCCCCCTCCCCGTCCTTCTGCCTCCTCCACTTCCTCGCCCCGCTGTCTGTTCCTTCCGCATCGTCCCTGTCCGTGTCCTCCCTGCCCCCCTCCAAGAACAGCAAGCCGCAAAGGTCGTCCAGGTCCAGCTAGTCAAGGACCACGTGACGCACGAAAGCCGGGGGTTCGCGTTCGTCAAGTTTGCGGATGCCCGCGACGCGGACGACGCGCTGCGCAAGCTGGACGGCGCCAAGGCTGCCGAAAGTTAGGGGGGCAGGCGGCGCGCAGGAGAGGGGGGTGGCGGGGGCGCAGCAGGGGGGAAGGAGGGGAGGGGCGGCGGCCTCTGGGAAGGCACACCGCTTCTCAGAAGCCCGCCTGCCGCTTCAGAAGCACAGAAAAGCTTCCAGGGCCAGGACTGGGCGCCGAGCCCCTCCTTGGAAGCTGCCCCCCCCCGCCCCCCGCCCCTTCCCCCCCTTGCCTGCTCTGGAGGCCGCCTCCCGTCTCCCTGTCCGCTGGCTTTCTCGCGCCGCCAGAAGGGAGTGCGGCCCAGGCCCCCCTCCCAGAGCCATGGCATGGGGGCGCGTCTGCGGGCACCACCTCCTGCGACCACTGGCGGACCCTGCCTCTGCGGGTCCAGTCGGCGCTGGGGCATGAGACACCCGCGGGGGTTCGCTCGAGCGCAGGCGGCCTCTTCAGATTCCGCACCCCGGCCACGCTTTCTCAGAAATCGTGCAGGGGAACGGCCCACACGTGGCTGCTGAATCGCAGAAGTGGCAGGGGCATCGCACATCGAACCAAGGAACACGAAACGGGGCAAGCTAGGTGTGCTCGCACCATCTCCGATCTCCGATCTCTCCCTCCCATCCCTTCCCATTCTGTCTTTTTCTGTTGTTACGGACGCGTGTCATAGCCGACCTGTAACTCGAACAGAAAGTTCCCATCGTGTCATTTACAATCGGACAATGGAGACTGTGCATCGGAGGATGAGGGGGAGGAGGAATCTGAGGAGGAGGAGGAGGAGGAGGAGGAGAAGAAGGCGGTGGGTGAGCAGGAAGATGGGCAGGAGGACAAAGAGGAGGCACACGATGACGAACAGCAGCAGCAACTGGAAGAGGGAGGAATAGGGGGAAGAGGAGGACCAGAGGATGGCGGAGGAGGGAAAATGAGGGGGGCGACAGCTATGAAACCGGATTCGGATCCAGAAAAGTGGCCCGCGTTTGGGGCGAGCGCGCAGATCTGAACGACGGGGGCAAAACGCCGATCCTAGAATGAGGCCCACGCTGCAGCGGGACAGCCTTTTTGAAGGACCGACAACAATCGGTGTGTAACAAATCTTCAGAACAGTGGGCCGGATACCTTCCGCACATGGGGGAGGGAGGAGAGTTGTATTCCAGGGGGGGGGGGGGCAAGCTAGGTCGCGCCACATTTGGCATCCTATCCCTCCCACCCGCTCCTGCCCGTTGCGCTACTTTTAAAAACCCATCCGCAACGGGTGTCATCACGCGCACCCGGACCCCCCCCCCCAGAAGGACCCCACCGCGGTATGCGCAATGTGGGCAGGGGAGGTGTGTGCAGTGGAGGAGGACGGGGAGGTCGTGGTGGACGAGCAGGGGGATGAGCAGAAGGAAAGGGGAGGACGACGACGAAGCCGAGGAGGCCGGTGCGGAACAGCGGCAGGAGCAGCGGGAGGAGCGGGAGGACCAGGGGGAGGCGGGGAAGGGGAAGGCGGGGAAAGGGGAAGGGAAGGGGGAAGGGAAGGGGAGGACGACGACGAATCCGAGGAGGCCGATGCGGAACAGCGGCAGAGGAGCGGGAGGAGCGGGAGGACCAGGGGAAGGCGGGGAAAAGGGGAAAGGGAAGGGGGGCGACAGCGGCGGGGAAGCGTTCGGATCCAGAGATGTGACCCGCGTCGGAGCGAGACCGCAACTCTGAGCGGCGGGGGCAAAGCGCCGGTCCCCAAAGTGAGGTCCACGCTGCATCGGGAGCACCTCTTGGAAGCGCGGGCAGCAGTCGGAGGGTAGAGAGGCCAGCTTCGGAGAGCCTGTCTGTGAGGTCGATGCGAGAAGAGGTCTGGAGGTCTTCCGCGCAGAGTCAGGGAGGAAAGGGGAGGAGCAGTCTTCATACGATGTAAGTTTGATGAGTAGTGTGGGGGAGAGAGAGTGGGGATGGGAAGGAAGGAGTGGGTGATTGGATGTCTCGGGACGGGCGCGCCAAGGCGTCGAGCCTTGCGGAGGAAGGAGGGGCCGTTTTCATTGGCAGCGTCTCCTTGCGCCTCGCACGGACGCGGGACTCGCCCCATCGGTTTGTTTCTTCCTGCCTGCTTCGGCGCCCGCGCCGGTCTGCAGCGCACGCGGCTTCCCAGAGGCTGCCCCCTCCCCTCCGGGCCGCCCATCAGATGCCCGCAGGGCTCTCCAGGACCAGCAAGGCTGGAGGTGCGTCGGCCTGCGGCCCAGCGGAGGCCTGTCGTGGTTGCAGACCGCCGGTCCCGGAAGTTATAACACACACCCATACCCATAGGGAGGTCGTTGGGAGGAGGACTGGCTATGGGTATGGGTGCGGGTTGTCGGACCCTGGGGAACGCTCCCGTTCGAGCGGGGGCCCCCATCCGACAACACGCACCCATAGCCCTCTCCGATCCCCCAATGGGTATGGGTGTGTGTTGTTGGTTCGTCAATTCAGGGCTTTTCACTCTAGCCTTGGCGGGGTGTCAGAAGTCGATGTGTGTTGGCGGAAGTGTCTGGCCGAGTTCGATGGCCTGGGTTTCGCAGACCCCCATGGTTCTGCGACAGTTTCTGGCCGGGTTCGGTGCGTGTGGCGAATTGGCCGCCGATTTTGTGGTGGGCGGTTTGGTGCTAGGCTTCCCGTGTGGGCCCATGGTGTCGTAATGGACTTATTGGGCCAAAGAAGAGAATAGAGATTATACGTAGAGAGTATAGAGTGGCAGATGATATCGATAATGGAGAGAAGAGAGTCGAGTTCATAGCGTAGAGAGCGAAGAGTAGAGAAACAGGATAACCACATCATTCATCCCCTGCTCACGCCCACCACCAGCGCGTTGTCCTTGCATTGTACCAGCAAACAACGTGTTGGGGTGTTATCTGGTTAAGACTTCTGTTCTGATCATGGACCCCTTGTTGAACGCAACCGTCGAACCTTCGCGCAGAAGACCGCCAAAGACTGCGGGAGGCCGCCGTAGGCAGATGGGTAACAAGGGGTTTATGGTTGAACTCTGGGATTTGTGGACGTTTTTTGATTCTAGAGGTCTCTGGAGTTCTCTTGAGGCTTTCAGAGCCCCACATCGTGCCAAAGGCGTCCGAGCATTTCGATCTTCGACTCATCGGTCCTCATCGGTCCTCCTCCTCATCACAATCGGCCCTACCAAGCTCAGTCCAACATTGTCTTAATCCTGGATCCGTTTCGGACGGCCCCGAGGGCGAACTGGGCTCCCAGGGCCGAAGTCCAAGAAGATCACCGGGCGCGAAGTTTATCGAGCCTCCTCGCAGCTCTACCAAGCTGTCCCACGGGGCCCAGCGAGCGGGGAACACGGCCCTTCATTCTCTTCCTGCGCCCCCTTCTGTCGGTAGCAACTCGTGGGAGCCCTATGTGTCCTAGGATGTCTGCCTGGCCCCCACAGCCCCCACAGCCCCCAGTGTTGCGTTCCAGATGTTGGAGCCAAGGTGTTTATGGAAACACTTCTTCTATTCGGGGGCGGCAAAGAGGGGGGTGATGACTAGGAGGGGGTGGATATCATGGCGGGGGCCATGATATTTCCCCAGATTTCATGGCGCCTCTTCTCATTTCATTACGTCCCTGGTCCCCCCGCTGGGCCGCGCACATGCCGCCGGTCATGATTTGCACCCCCCCCCTCTTGGACACCCTCCTCTGGGCCGCTCCCGATCTATGTGAAGGCCAGGGGGTGGGCGGGGATCATGCGAAGTGGTTGTTCGTCGCTTGTTGTACAGTTCTTCCCTGCAACGGTTTCACCCCCTCCCCGCGTCGTCGCCCGCGCGGTCCTCGCTCTCGTCCCTCCCGGCCGCCCCCCTCGCCGGGCTCCTGCCGCCCGGAGGTGGCCGACCGGCCTTGCCGGCTGGAGCGGGTCAGGACCAAGGACGGCCGCGGCGGCGGCAGGAGCCCAGCCCGGAGGGCCCTCGAGGCAGGTCCCGGCCCGTGCATCCCGCCTCGATACGACGGCTAATCAGAGGAGGAGAAGGTACCAATATCGGGCCGGACGAAAGGGGGGGATTGGGAAAGGGGGGGTTGCGAAATTTGCTGCATGCAGCTGGTTTCGGCCTCGCCGAGGGGCCCATTCCTTGATACATAGCCGCCTCCGGCGCAGGGAGGCGCCGGGAAGATCAGCTACGTGAGCTGATTCTCAAACCCCCCCTTTGCTACCCCCCCTTTCGCCCGACCCGATATACTCTGGACGCCCGAAATGGGTACGGAAAGAATGGGCACAATGCCCAACAGCAGTTCCTGTTCATTTTGAACCGGATTCGCTGTCCACGCCGCCGCGGCCTGTGTCCATTTGAGACAGAAGGCCGCCTGCCCAACAGCGGCCGCTGTCGGTTTGGGACAACATTTGTTGTTGGGCATTGTACCCATTTTTTCCGTACCCATTTCGGGCGTCCAAAAATACCGCTGCTCGTCCTGGAGAGCTATTGTTGCCACCGCTGGATTCTCCCGGAAACTGAAGCCAGAACGCACCCCGGGAGAGGTCCGGGCAGTAGCAGTATCCGTACATGTTTCGTGGACCTCCCAGGGTGGGGGCCAGGGTGCAGCCTGGGGGTGCACCAGCGCTGATGCAAGGTGTCCTCCCGTCCCCGGGTCCCCCCCACCACAGGCCCCCAAACGCACCCCCGGCCACGACCGGAAGCCCCCGCCCCCGAACAGACCAGGGCCCCATGGGCCGGGCATCCGAGCGATGACCTTGTTCTGAAAAGGTGCCGCCCGTCTTCCCTGTAGATCCGGCCTTGCAGTAAGTTGTTACACTAGTTCTAAGCATCTGGGCCCACGTGTCGAAAGAGTCTGAAGCGAGAGGAGGGCCCCATTTAGTAAAGGAATCGCCCTGCATCCCTGCAGCTGTTTGAAACTCGTTCGGCGGATGGGCGCAACGCGAGAGGCTTATTTTGAACAGGAACCGCCCTCCATGGTTCTTGCTGCATGAATGGCTAAGACGAATGGACGCGGCGCGAATGCGAGAGCCCAATTTTGAAAAGTTAGCCGTCCTCCATTGTTCCTCGAAGGTGAACAGCCGCGGCGCTGAAGCGAGAGCCACATGAGGACCACCCTCCTCACAACCATTGAATTCGTAGAGGCTTGCAAGCCGCGAGGGCGCAGGGTTAGGGCGGCAGCCACATGGTGACATCGATGTGCCTGTCTGCCGTGCAACAGTTTGGAAATTCAATGTTCGGGATCATGAGGAGGTTGCCCGGGCGTGTCGCCAGGACCGCCCCACCGACACCTGTGGCGGTGCGACGAGGAGGATGTTGGAACAAGGGAGATGGATGATCAAACGCATGCTGGACTATCTACGGGAATGCTTGCAATGGAAGGTGGACGCATTAGGACGCTCTTATACGATTGCGGATATGTGATAATGTTTTCTTTACGTTTCTGGACCCCCCAAATATCTCCCGAGACCCTCGCGGAGACCGACGGAGACCGACATTTCCAAGTCACCACGAAGTAGCGGTGTCCTTGTGGACGTGTCTCCTCAGATGTTCGCCGTTCTCCGCCTGTCGGGGCACCTTCTGGCTGCGGGGCCGCCAAGAAACGACTCAGGATAGACGGCCCGTCCCAGGGGGTGCCCTGGGGTGCTCAGGACCCGTTTTTGTCACGGCCCTTTTGCATCATGGCACGAGGAAGGGCCCCCCTGCCTTCGAGAGGAAGGACGTGGAGGAGAAGCAATAGGAGCCCCTTCCTCCCCCCTCTGGTCTCCTCTCCTCGGAGGCGAAGGAGTGCGACGAGGAGTCTGTCCCTCACACCCTCCCTCACCTGGCCTCGAGGAGACATCCCCCATCCACCCCCCACTCCGCCGAGGAGCCGCTCCCGCACGCCCATTGAGGTGCGCAGGCGCCAGCACGTCGACATGCGGCAGCGGGATCAGGACCCCTCCTGGTTATTCCCTGCCGCGCCTCGTCCGTCCTCCTCCCTGCTCCCTCCCCCGCCCTCCTCTTTCCCTCGCCTCCGCGATCCTGCGCCACGCACGACCCGAGGCGAAGCCAGGTAGTCGCATCATCGCCTCGTGGAAAAGGGGCGCCGGGCAGAGACGGGCCCCACCCGCCGCGGTCGCCCCTGCTCGCCGGGCCCCCCCGGTGGGCCGCTCGCGAGCCCACCTGGAGCTCCTCTGGAGAAGAAGCGGGCCACCGCGCCGGCGCCGCCCCTTTGGGCCATGTCCCCGGGTCTACTGCCCTGAGGGTGGCCTCAATGTCTTTTCGGGAGCGGAAAAGAGGGGGGTGAAGACTAGGGGGGGGTGGATCTCATGGCGGGGGCCATGAGATTTCCTCAGATTTCATGGCGCCTCTTCTTATTTCATTACGTCCCAGGCCCCCCCGCTGGGCCGCGCACATGCCGCCGGCCATGATTTGCACCCCCCCCTCTTGGACACCCCCCTCTTGGCCGCTCCCGATCTTTGGTCTCTTCCTACAGCCTCCATCCTCCTCCTGCTCCTGCTCCTCTTTCTCTTCAACTCTCCACGTGTACTTTCCTCTTCCTGCTCATCCCGAGGAGAGGAGGACGACGAAGAGGATAGTATAGAAGTTAGGCGTTACGTAATGTCGTGTTCCGCGAGGAGTTTGAAATCAGCTTCCACACGAAAATGCACCACATATCGAAGACGCCTACGGCGAATCACCGCCGCCCCCTGCTTTCTAGAATCGCCCATGTGCCCAAGCGTTGCTGCAAGAGTTCTGCCAAGATATCGAATCATGTGTTCCCCCAGCCGTTGTGGAAACCCTTCGGGGAAGATTTGAGGGAGGATGGCAAGGAAGGTCAGGAGGAGGAGGAAGAGGAGGAGGGGGCGTCTTGGGAGGCTCCGGGGTCACTCTTGGGGCCTCCTGGGTGCTTCCAGGGAGCCTCTTGGAGGCATCTTGCGGGCATCCTTGGGCCTCTTGGGTGCCTTTGCGGGCTTCTCGGGGGCCTCTGTGGCCGTCTTAGGGGCCTCTTGGGCCGACTCGGGGCCGTCGGAAGCCGTCTTGGGGGCCTCTCTGGGCCGACTCGGGGCCCCTTGGGGTGCTCCAGGGACGTCTTAGAGGCCATCTTGGGCGTCTTGGAGGCCTCTTGGGCCGTCTTGGTCCTGGGCTATCTTGAGGCGATCTTTGGAGGCTCTTTGGGCCGTCTCGAGACGTCGGAAGGCCGAAACGAAGTAAATGCCAACATCCTTCAAACACCCATGGCCTGTCAATGATGTTGGTCTTGTCGGGCCTCCCTGGAGGTTCTCTTGGAGGCCTCTGGGGCGGTCTCGGAGACCTCTTCGTGGCCTCTTGGCCGTCTTGGGCCATCTTGGAGCCATCGTGGGCCGTCTTGGTGGGCTCCTGGCCCGTCTGACGCCGTCGGAAGCCGTCTTGGGGGCCTCTCCGGGCCGACTTGGGGCCCCCTTGGGGTGCTCCAAGGTTGTCTTGGAGGCCATATTGGGCGTCTTGGAGGCCTCTTGGGCCTTCTTTGGGCCTTCTTTGGGCCTTCTTGGGGCCCTCTTGGGGTCAGCTATGGCTTCATCTCAGCACTTGCCGTGAGGAATTTGAAGCACCAGTGCCGTAATTTTTTGAGTGACTACGGCAAGCGCATATTGAAGAAGGTTGCCAAGGGACAACCACCTGGCCGCAACAATTGGGCCAGAGAGCAAGTGGCCAAGAGGCTACTCAAGTGATGTACAGCTATGGCTTTGCCAGGAGTGAATCAAAATAGCCATTCGAGGGCCATCCTGGAGGCGTCTTGGGCGATCTTGGGGCGATCTCTGTGGGAGGCTCTTTGGGCCGTCTCGAGGCGTCGGAAGGCCGAAACGAAGCAAATGCCAAAATCCTTCAAACACCCATGGCCTGTCAATGATGTTGGTCTTGTCGGGCCTTCATGGAGGTTCTCTTGGAGGCCTCTGGGGCCGTCGTGGACACGTCTTCCTGGCCTTGTGGGCCGTCTTGGGCCATCTTGGAGCCATCGGGGGCTGTTTTGGTGGGCTCCTGGCCCGTCTGACGCCGTCGGAAGCCGTCTTGGGGGTCTCTCCAGGCCGACTTGGGGCCCCCTTGGGGTTCTCCAGGGTCGTCTTGGAGGCCATACTGGGCGTCTTGGAAGCCTCTTGGGCCTTCTTTGGGCCTTCTTGGGGCCCTCTTGGGGTCAGCTATGGCTTCATCTCCGCACTTGCCGTGAGGAATTTGAAGCACCAGTGCCCTGATTTTTTGAGTGACTACGGCAAGCGCATATTGAAGAAGATTCCCAAGGGACAACCACCTGGCCGCAGCAATTGGGCCAGAGAGCAAGTGGCCCAGAGGCTACTCAAGTGATGTACAGCTATGGCTTTGCCAGGAGTGAATCAAAATAGCCATTCGAGGGCCATCCTGGAGGCGTCTTGGGCGATCTTGGGGCGATCTCTGGGGGAGGCTCTTTGGGCCGTCTCGAGGCGTCGGAAGGCCGAAACGAAGCAAATGCCAAAATCTTTCAAAAACCGATGGCCTGTCAATGATGTTGGTCTTTGTCGGGCCTTCATGGAGGTTCTCTTGGAGGCCTCTGGGGCCGTCGTGGACACGTCTTCCTGGCCTTGTGGGCCGTCTTGGGCCATCTTGGAGCCATCGGGGGCTGTTTTGGTGGGCTCCTGGCCCGTCTGACGCCGTCGGAAGCCGTCTTGGAGGCCTCTCTGGGCCGACTTGGGGCCCCCTTGGGGTGCTCCAAGGCCGTCTTGGAGGCCAGATTGGGCGTCTTGGAGGCCTCTTGGGCTGCCTTGGGGCTCCTTGGGGCCGTCTTGGGGGCCTTATCGGCCATTCGAGGGCCATCTTAGAGGCCTCTTGAGCGATCTTCGTGCGATCTTTCGGAGCTTTCGGGCCGTCTCGGGCCGTCGGAAAACCGAAGAGAAGCAAATGCCACAACCAACGACAAATCCATGACGTTGGCCTCTGCGGGCCTTCCTGGAGGCACTCTTGGAGGCCTCTTTGGCCGTCTTGGCGGCCTCTCGGGCCTTTGAGGCCGTCTTGGAGGCCCCTTGGGCGAACTTGGAGGCATCTTGGACTCTCTTGGGCCGTCTTCGAGGCCATCTTGGACCATCTTGGGCGAACTTGGAAGCCATCTTGGCCGTCTTGGAGGCCGTCTTGGGCCATCTTGGAGCCAGCTGGACGCGGGACATGTCGGCACCCACCTCTTCGCGTGGCCGGCGCGCTGGGCCTGAGCCCCAGGGGGGGAGCTCTTTCAAAGAAAGAACCCAACACCAAACCAGTACAATCTTCAGTCGGGGCGTTGAAAAAGGAACCCTTTTCTTTGGGGAGGGGCTCCGTGTTCCTTAGTTGTTTCACAGTTGGGGGGAGTTCTTTCAAAGAAAGAACCAACACCAAACCAGTACAATCTAGCACGCCAGGCACCCCTGCGACAAAGCCAACAGGGGGCGGCGGATGACGGAAAGCGCGCGTTAGCGTGCGGTCCGTTAGTCGGAAGAAATTTGACTTGGGGAGTTCGAGGGGGCTGGCATCACCAGGCCCGAGATCTAATTGCCCTCCCGCCTAGTTTTTTCTCGAGTAGGACGGCCTTCGGGGCTTAACAACAGCGTTCCGCTCGAGGCATCATCGGAGCACGCTTCTTGGGCCGTCTTAGGCGCCTAAGACAGCCCAAGAAGCGGCCAAGACGGCGCCCAAGACGGCCCAAGAAACGCCCAAGACGGCCCAAGAGCGCTCCAAGAGAGCCCAAGACCGCCCAAGGCGGCCCCAAGACGTCCCAAGAGGCCTCCACGACGCCCCAGGAGGCGCCCACGAGGCGTCCCAAGAAGGCCCCACGAGGCCAGAATCATTTATTTTCTGAGGGGAAGCTTGCATGTTTGGCATGTACGGCTTTTCGCCTTTCATGGCGTTGAAGACGGTCCAAGAGGCCCCCAAGACCGCCCCAAGACGGCCCAAGATGTTCCCAAGAGGCCCCCAAAATTGCCCACGAGGGCGCCCAGACGGGCCAAGAGGCGTCCAAGACTGTCCAAGAGGCCCCCAAGAGCGCCCCAAGAAGGCCCAAGAGGCCCCCAAGAAGGCCCCAAAACGGCCCAAGAGGGCGCCAAGACGGCCCAAGAGGTGCCAAGACGGCCCAAGACGGCCCCAGGACGGCCCCAAGAAGGCCCCAAGATGCCCCCAAGAGAGCCCAAAGACAGCCAAAGGCAGCCTGGTCCCTTCACCCCCGCAGCCCAGAAGTTCCCAGGAGGCCCCCAGAGGCCCCCGAGAAGCCCCAAGAGGTCCCCAAGAGGCACCCAAGAGGCTCCCCAAGAGGCCAAACTACTCCCAAAGGCTCTTAGCACCGCGGCTCCCAGAGCGAGCGGTGACGTAATCGAGCTGATAAGACCAAAGCTTCCAACACAGAGCTGCGGCTTTTCGCCTTTCATGGCGTTGAAGACGGTCCAAAAGGCCCCCAAGACCGCCCCAAGACGGCCCAAGATGTTCCCAAGAGGCCCCCAAAATAGCTCAAGAGGGCGCCCAGACGGGCCACGAGGCGTCCAAGATTGCCCAAGAGGCCCCCAAGAGCGCCCCGAGAAGGCCCAATAGGCCCCCAAGAAGGCCCCCAAACAGCCCAAGAGGGCGCCAAGACTGCCCAAGAGGCGCCAAGACGGCCCAAGACGGCCCCAGGACGGCCCCAAGAAGGCCCCGAGAGGCCCCCAAGAGAGCCCACAGACGGCCAAAGGCAGCCTGGTCCCTTCACCCCCGCAGCCCAGAAGCTCCCAGGAGGCTCCCAGAGGCCCCCGAGAAGCCCCAAGAGGTCCCCAAGAGGCACCCAAGAGGCTCCCCAAGAGCCCCCCAAGAGGCCCAAAATACTCACAACGGCTCTTAGCACTGCGGTTCCCAAGAGCGAGCGGTGACGTAATCGAGCTGATAAGGCCAACGTTCCCAACAGAGAGTTGCTGCGTAATAAGTTCTTGCAGCCAGGGCACAGGGACGGGCGGCAACGCGTGGACAACGAGCGGTCCACGCAAGGACAACGCGGGGTTCTGGAAAGCTGGCAGCCCAAACGCGGAAAATGCAACGCGACCCGACCGCCCCCTCCAAAACAAGAAACGCGCTCAAAGAAAGCTCCGCGACTCTCCGAGGCTGAGATAAGACAAGAGCGAGGGGAAGGGAGTCAATAAGAGGTGTAAGAGCGGACGAGCCAGCGATCCCGTGCGTTCTGAAAGTAAGTGCGCTTTCCGTCCCCGTGCCAAGCAGGTCTAATTGCCCTCCCGCCTCGTTTTTTTATCGAGTAGGACGGCCTTCGGGGCTTAAACACGGCGTTTCGCTCGAGACATCATCGGAAAACGCTTCTTGGGCGCTTCTTGGGCCGTCTTAGGCGCCTAAGACAGCCCAAGAAGCTGCCAAGACGGCGCCCAAGACGGCCCAAGACGGCCCAAGAAACGCCCAAGACGGCCCAAGAGCGCTCCAAGAGAGCCCAAGACCGCCCAAGGCGGCCTCAAGACGTCCCAAGAGGCCTCCACGACGCCCCAGGAGGCGCCCACGAGGCGTCCCAAGAGGGCCGCAAGAGGCCACAATCATTGATTTTCTTAAGGAAAACGTGCATTTTTAGCATATACGGCTTTTCGCCTTTCATGGCGTTGAAGACGGTCCAAGATGCCCCCAAGACCGCCCCAAGACGGCCCAAGATGTTTCCAAGAGGCCCCCAAATAGCCCACGAGGGCGCCAAGACGGGCCAAGAGGCGCCCAAGACTGTCCAAGAGGCCCTTAAGAGCGCCCCAAGAAGGCCCGAGAGGCCCCCAGGAGGGCCCCAAAACGGCCCAAGAGGGCGCCAAGACGGCCCAAGAGGCGCCAAGACGGCCCAAGACGGCCCCAGGACGGCCCCAAGAAGGCCCCGAGAGGCCCCCAAGAGACCCAACGACGGCCAAAGGCAGCCTGGTCCCTTCACCCCAGCAGCCCAGAAGCTCCCAGGAGGCTCCAAGAGGCCCCCGAGAAGCCCCAGAAGGTCCCCAGGGGGCACCCAAAAGGCTCCCCAAGAGCCCCCCAAGAGGCCCAAAATACTCCCAAAGGCTCTTAGCACTGCGGTTCCCAAGAGCGAGCGGTGACGTAATCGAGCTGATAAGGCCAACGTTCCCAACAGAGAGCTGCGGCGTAATAAGTTCTTGCAGCCAGGGCACAGGGACGGGCGGCAACGCGTGGACAACGAGCGGTCCACGCAAGGACAACGCGGGGTTCTGGAAAGCTGGCAGCCCAAACGCGGAAAATGCAACGCGACCCGACCGCCCCCTCCAAAACAAGAAACGCGCTCAAAGAAAGCTCCGCGACTCTCCGAGGCTGAGATAGGACAAGAGCGAGGGGAAGGGAGTCAATAAGAGGTGTAAGAGCGGACGAGCCAGCGATCCCGTGCGCTCTGAAAGTAAGTGCGCTTTCCGTCCCCGTGCCAAGCAGGTCCAATGGCCTTCGGCCCATCCGGCCACCGTGCCTGGGCTGTGAGCATGAAGCCTGCTATTGGATGTTCGTTGGGGTCTCGTGGGCGGCCTCTCGGGGGCCTCCTCTTGGAGGCAGCTTGGAGGCCTCTTGGGGACTGTTTCGGGGCATCTTCTGCGCTTCTTGGGGGCATCTTGGGGCCTCTTGGGGGCGTCGTTGGGGCCTCTTAGGGCCTCCTGGGCGCCTCCTGGGGCCTCCTGGGGGCCTCTTGTGGCGGAAGGCTTGGAATTTCGGTTCGTGTTCCCTTTCTTGGGTCTCTTGGGGGCCGTCTTGGAGCCCTCTTGGTCCGTTTTGGGCACCTTTTGGGCCGTCTTGGGGCCCTCTTGGGCTGTTTTGGGGTCCTCTTGATGGCCTCTTTGGCCGTCTTGGGGCGGTCTTGGGGGCCTCTATGGTCGGGAAACCGAAACGGCGAGAACACCAGATTCATTCAAAAACCTTTTTGGACAATCAGAGATTTTGGCCTCTCGGAGCCCTCTTGGGCCGCCTGGGGGCCATCTTGAGCGCGTATCGGAGCGATCGTGCGGCGACTCGGATTCCTCTTGGACCGTGATCCCTTCGCTCACTCCGCCGGCCCATGTTGCACCTCTGTTGTCATACGTGGGTGTGCCCATGACGGGCGAGAAGGCGTTTGGAGGACTCGATAGGAGAGGGGGAGGAGGAGGAGAAACAAGGAACAGACAACGAAACAACAAACAACAACTTCCTCTCGAGGCTCTCCCGGCCCGTCCTGGGGCCCCCTCTCGGGCCCGAAGGAGCCACGCGGCAGGGCGCGGGGGAGCCCCCGATGGGCACGCGCCAAGCCCGTGCCAAAGGTTCGGAATCTGGGGTCCGGGCCCGTACAGTCAGAGAAGGAGGCTCGGGCGTCTGTGCGAGAGGAGGAGGGGAGCGCCAGGAGGAGGAGGAGGAGGAGGAGGAGGAGGAGGAGGAGGCGGAGAACAGGAGAAGGGGGGAGGAGGAGGGGGGACGGCGAGGAGGCACGGGAGGGTGAGAGGGGGGTGGGGCGCAGAGGAGTGGGCAGAGGACCCGAGGACGCGCCCACTCCGTTCGGGCCGGACGATCGGGGGGGGGGGATTGGGAAAGGGGCGGGTTACGGAATCTGCTGCGTGCAGCTGGTTTCGGCGCCACCGAGGAGCCCATTCCTGGATACATGGCCGCCTCCGGCGCCGGGGGGCGCCGGGAAAATCAGCTACTACGGGAGCTGATTCTCAGCCCCCCCCCCCCCTCTTTGCTATCCCCCCCTTTCGCCCGGCCCGATCCGTGCCCAGCGGCACAGTGGCGGATCAATGCATCGAGTGTTGACTTTCGAGGATAGAGGAATCATTGATCAAGCATGAAGCAATGCGGGAGAAAGAACGGAATGGTAATGGGGCAGGACTGGAGCAATCATGAAGCAAGATTGAGGCAGTCATGCAGCAAGACGAATATGAAGGAGAATTAGCGATCGAGGTGTAGGTGACCCTGTGACATAAACAAGATTGACAAATTTAGGTAACACTGGTGTCGTCTGCGTTTCGAATTGCTTACTGAAACTTTGCGTACGAGTCTGTAGCGCGCACGATGCCAGCATGTTTTGCTTGTTTGTTCACACATAATTCAATACTTCAGCGCCATGCGTTCTCGGGAAATTGTCTTGGCGAAGGACCCTGTGCAGCTGCAAGTACCGTCGTTGTGGGCATCGCCTTCGTGGAATTTCCTCATGGGGCCATGACGTATGCGAAGGGTGTGCCGATATGTGGCGGGGCCGCCATGTGGGCGCTGCCACTGGGGCTGTACGCGGAAACCACGGTGGGACCGCGCAGCGTGGAAGGGGTACGTTGCAATGGGGCGGGCCGCCAATGGGGCCTTCGGCGGAGCTCTTTTTGGAGCCACGAACGGTTGTACTGGGTGGCGAAAACGCATGCGGACACAACCACTGGGGCCTTCGGTGGAGCTCCCTATGGGGCCACGAAACGATGTACTGGGAGGGGAAACGCATGCATGTGCAGCCTCTGGGGCCTTCGGTGGAGCCCCCTCTGGGGCCCCGAAGCGGTGTACTGAGTGGGGGAACCGCATGCGAGAGCAGCCACTGGAGCCTTCGCTGGAGCTCCCTATGGGGCCACGAAGCACAGTACTGGGGAAGGGGGAAGGAGCAGGAAGAGGAGGAGGAAGAAGAAAAGGAGGAGGAGGATAAGGAGTATGAGTAGGAGTAGGAGTCAAGCTAGCCAGCTCGAGCGAGTCAAGCATGGCATGCCCAGTCCCACCCGCCCTCCCACAACATAAGAAGCAAAGCTGGCACAACTGGGGGCCGAAGTCACACCGGCCAGCCGGTTTGGTACAGCTGATGCGGCCGCGATGGCGGTTGCCGACGGGAACTGGCGAGCGCGTGTTGAATGCCGCGCACGCATTGCCAGACGAGTCGAGAATGGCCCGGTACACCGCAGGAAGCCAGAGGTGGCCGGAGGAAGCCCGACGGTCTGACAGGACACCCCAAAGCATTTTTGTGAAAAAGCATTGGGTTTTTGATGTTTTTATGTTGAAATGCTTGCAAACACACGGTGTTCGGTAGGATTCTGACATGAACGCGCGAGTGTGCTCTTTGTGGTATTTTTTGCACAGGATTCGCGGCCTGGGTGCATGACAGAGCATCGCGAGTGCACCGCGCGATGACGTGAAATCGCTGGATTTGACCGAATTCTTAAGATTCCTATGGTTTTCCTATGATTTCAGCAAGAGAGCCCGGGCGGGAAATTTGTACAATTTTTGTGAAAAAGCATTGGGTTTTTGATGTTTTTATGTTGAAATGCTTGCAAACACACGGTGTTCGGTAGGATTCTGACATGAACGCGCGCGTGTGCTCTTTGTGGTATTTTTTGCAATGGATTATCGCCGTGGACGACAGGACGTCCATGTCGAGAGGAAAAAATAAGAAAAATGTTGATTTTGTATTGTTTTTTACAGGTTAGGATGGGACCACCCGGATGCGGCCCCTATCGGCCGGCCTGAGGGGGGAGTAGGAGTATATTCTAATAAGGAATAAGGATAGGAGGAGGAGGAGGAGGAGGAGTAGGAGGAGGAGGAGGAGGAGGACGAGACGAGGACGAGGAGGAGGAGGAGGAGGAGGAGGAGGAGGAGGAGGAGGAGGAGGAGGAGGAGGAGGAGGAGGATAGGAGGAGGATAGGGATAGCGCGGGTGAGGACGGAGGATAAGGAGGAGCAGCATGACGAGGACGAGGACGCTGATGAGGAGGAGGACGTGCGTAGACGAGAAGGAGGAGGGGGATGAGCCGGCGGCGGCGTGGCCCCGCTCCTTCCCGCGAGACGCCCAGAGGACCGCAGCTCCAGCAGGTCGCAGGACCGCCGCGACCGGCGCGCTGCGGAGCCACAGCCAGAGGGAGGCCGCGGCGGGGGCGACGGCCGCCGACAGGACGCCGCGGCCGACGTCGACGACGGTCCCAACGAAAGTTGGCCAGGGAGAGTTCGGCCAGGCCGAATGTCCTCCGGCTGAATGCGGCCAGGTTGACCTCGGCTGGCTTATATACCTCGGGCTGGCTGAGCTCGGCCGAGAGGAGCCCGGCCTGGGCCGAGTGCGGCCTGGCCGAGTTCGGCCTGCTGAGCTCAGCCTGGCCGAGTCTTCCCATTGTCTGACCAACGGGGGGGTGATTGATTGAGAATTTCGTGAAGTGTTGAGGCTGGGACGGGGAGGGAGTGATAATTCCGTGCATGACACGAGCCACGCGTGGAGAGGGGCAAGAGGGGCAACCCCGTTCAACCACCACACCAGATCCCCCCCCGACCCTGCCGAAGCTTCGGCCAGGGCTTCACCACCAGCTCAGCCTTCGGGGCTGCTCTGCACGCTGGTCTTTGCAATCATCAGGAAGGAGAAAACACACAGACACAATTAATCGTCGATTCCCAGAACATGTGGGAAAATATGGGTAGTGGAGGGGAAGACAAAACCTCAGAAAATATGAGAAAATATGGGGAATCTGGTTATTTGTGTGTATTTCTTTGGTCTTTGCAACCACCAGGGGGGAGGAGGAGGGGGGGCACAGCAGGCCCAAGAGGTCTCCGAAGCCCCTCCTCTCGCAGGGCCACTGCAGGCACTCGTTTGCACTGCTCGCAGCGCCCCCCCCCTTCAAAGGCGAGGCGCCCCGTGGGCCCGCCAATTCGGCGGGAGCGTCGTGGTAAACTCAGTTTTCCCGCAGTGTTGGCGGGAGTTCCGCAGTGTTGTGTTGTGTTGTGTGTTTTGTGTGTGTTGTGTGTGTGTGTGTGTGTTCTTTTCGCTGTGGTTTGTGTGTTTGTGTGTTGTGTTGTGTGTTGTGTGTTGTGTTGTGTGTGTTGTGTGTTTGTGTTGTGTGCTGTGTGTTTTTTCATTGTGTTTTATTCCACGCCCTCCGTCCTTCGCACGATCAGGAATGCGACACTGTGGGATCACAGGCTCCAAGAGGGCGCCCCGCGACAGCACGACTTTGAAGACGAGCCACCCTCCAACCGTGCAGTGGTGGCATGCTACATTTCTTGGGCATAGTGTTCACGAAGCTTTCACGTGCGAGCCCCATTTTGTCAAGGAGCCGTCTTCCTTCGATGCAGCCGCAGACGAGAGCAAGATGTTTGAAAGGAAACTCCCTGCATCCGTGTACTTGCTGGAACGGCTTAAGACGGGCTTAAGACGGGTGTGCGCGGCGCTAAAACGAGAGCCCCATTTTGACGACGACCCGCCAACCCTCCGTGTAGCTGCTGGACGACTGAAGACGAATGTGTACGACGTCAAGGCGAAAGCCCCATTTTGAAAACGGCTTGCATTTCATCAGTGTGATTGGTCCAATTTTCAGGCATCAAGATTTTTAAGCCACAGCGGCGCCGCAGCACTTCTTGGAGGGTGAACTGATAGGCGTCACCACCCTGGGCTTTTTCACTAGCACCCGCGCGCCCAGAGGAGGTCGTGCGCTCCCAGCCCAAGTTCATATCCTTGCTACTTCGTCCAACACTTATTGCGTGTTCGACAGCAGATGGAAGCAATTGATTGGTCAATGGGATCTCTGTCCGAGTATCTGCGCGCACTTTCTCATCGTTCTCATCAGCACTATTGTCACCACATCGCCAGCGTCATCTTTGCGATGAGGATGTGCAATCAATTACAGCCTCATCATCATCGCCGCCGTCATCATCACCATCGTCAGTAGCATCGTCATCGTCGTCGTTTACCTCGTCAACAGCGCGATAACAATCATCATCACCAGCATCTCCATGATCGTCATCATCATCAGCATCATCAACCTCATGACCATCATCATCATCATCATCATCATCATCATCATCAGCAGCAGCAGCAGCAGCAGCAGCATCAACATTACACCACCAGCATCGTCAGCATCACCATCACCATCAGCATCATCATCATCATCATCATCGCCATCATTCTCATTATCAGTATCATGATCATCATCATCATCGTTGTTGTCAATGCCGCCACCATCACCCCGCCCGAGTCACAGACCTGCATGAGAGGGGTCCGCGTGCCATTGCGCCAATTGAATTGTTCCAACACGTTGCGAGTGAGCAATTGGGTGGGATGTTCGTTCGAGTATTGGTTTTGGCGACTTTATCATGTTCAACACTCACTGCACACGATATTTTGCTCCACGCATACTGCACCCCATAGCTTTCACTTCGTGGCACTGTATGCACCACGTGGAGTGCATCACATCGCTGGCGCCACGCAGATTCCAGCACATTGCCTTCACAACATCGCACGCACCACGTAACTAGATTGCACCACACGCGCTACACCTCCGGGGTGCCGGCATACACTCTGCACGCTGAAGCTGGCGGGCAGGCGGGCCAGCGCGGTCGACGTGCCGCCGCTTCCTCCGAGCCCACCCTGCCGCTGCCTCCCGGCGCAGGAGCACCGGCCGGGCGACCCGCGGCACAGCAGCGCGCCGAGCGGTTCTTCTGGCCTGACCTGGCCGACGATCGTTGGGCAGGGAGCGGGGCGGGGGTCGGGTGAGTGAGGATGAGCATGCAGAGAAGGACGAGGAGGACGAGGAGGAGGAGGAGGAGGAGGAGGAGGAGGAGGAGGAGGAGGAGGAGGAGGAGGAGGAGGAGGAGGAAGGAAGCGGTGATGGAGAGCTTGGAGGGGGAGGAGGAGGAAGAAGTGAAGGTGGAGCAGCAGTGGATGGGTACTTGCCTCTCGCCATCGCCACCAACCCCCTCTTGCGTTCCGTCCCTCTGCCCTCCCATCCCCTCTGACCTCTTTCTCCTTCTTTCCCCCGCCCCCATTATTGGAGCCTTCTTGGGGCCCTCTTGGGGCGCTCTTGGGCGGTCTTGGGGCCGTCTTGGGAGCCTCCTGGGCCCATCTTGGTTGGGGCTCTCTTGGGCCAAACGGAAGGGAGAAGAAACATCATGGAGGTTTTTTGAAGTTTTTGAAATGAGGTTGGCCTCTTGGGGAAGGCCAGATGGGGGCTCCGAGAGCACTTGGAGCCGCATTTAGGTCCTCTAGGGGCCTCTTGGAGGAATGTCGGAAGTCATCTTGAACCACCTCTGGGTATTTTGAGCGATATTTGGGGTTGTCTTGGAGCATCAGGGTACCTCTTGGAGCCATCTTGGGCGAAAAAGAACCCCCTGACACATCGCGATTCCTCACGAAAACACCTCAGGGATGGACGGGAGGGGACCCCCCCCAAAGGAAGAGGGGTTTTCGAATGGGAAGGACGAAACTCGTTGGACCACCCACGCCATGAAGGTTTGGTTTGGTGGGATTGCGGAGGAACGCGCAAACGCCTTCCACCCGCATGCACAGTTTCCATACTCTGGCTTTAATCTCTAAGTTGTTCATTCGTCATTCGCGAAAACCCGCATGTTAAGATAGAACCGCCGTCAATCTGCGTGACGGTTGGAAGCCGTTTGGACAGATGTGCGATGCGCTAGGATGACCTCCATCCGTGTAGCTGTTGGAACCATTTTAAACATGCGCGCCTTGTTAAGGCAAGAGCCACACTTTGAAAACGACCACAATCTATCCGTGTCGCGGTTGCTGCACATTTTCCGACGAAAATGCGCGGCGTTGAAGCGACAGCCGAATCTTGAAAACGATCACCCTCTATCCGTAAAGCCGTGGGGCATGTCAAGCGTCAGGATTGTTCATCCGGTTGCATTGCCGCGCGATTCCGCCACCGTGCTCGGGCAGGGGGTGGTGTCTTGGGGGGGCCACGGGCCCACCCTTCCCCAGACTTTGTACGTGGGATGGTCTTCTTCCTGCATGGCCCAAGGCGCAGGGGCTTTGCCACACAAGCAAACGCATCTTGGGCTCGATGCGTCGGGGGGCCCGAGCTACTCCTTCGCAGAAAACGAAGGGGGGGCCCGACGCACACCAACCGCTGCAAGCGCGGTAGCGGGTATATGGCGAGGAGCAGTCTCAGGCTAAACGCCCCGCCCCGCCCTGCCGGCACGCGCCGGGTGGTGCGACGGCGGCGAGGAGGAGACGAGGGACGGCCGATGAGGGGGGAGTGATGATCGGAGTCCTGGAGGCTGGCAGCACCACCAGCATCGGCGTGTGCTTCCACCGAGAGGGACGGGTGATCCCGATCTCAGTGATGGTGGTACTAATCGGGCTTCCTAGGTGGCCGACATATTACCACCAACGACAACATCTAACATCGGTTACCCCTCGGTGTACACAATCCCTGTGTTTGGTGTTGGTGCCCATTTCCAAGCCTCCAAGATGGCGCCTCTGCAAGCCATCAGAACCCTTAGTCGAATACCGTGGAAACGTATGCAAACTGCAAACAATCGAGCGTCCTCTCTCCGCTCCTCCGCTCAGCCATCCCCCCCCCGCCACCTCTCACCCCCCTCCCTCCGTCCCTCTGCCTCCCTCCTCGTCCTCCTCCTACTCTTCCCGCCCCCCTTCGGGAGGGTTCTCTTTCCCCCTGGCTGCCGGTCTGCAGTGGTGTTTCGTGCGCGCTGTTCCGACGGAGGGGGCTGGGGGACGGCGAGTTTCCCTGCAGTTGAGCTGCGGACTCTTTGCTGGCCCATCCTACTCTGGACGGCCTCTGCGTCTTCCCTCGTGGGCTCTCCAATGCACCGTCGGTGGCCCTGGCCCTGCTCGCCTGTCAGGCCTGCTTTTGATATTGGCAGCCTCACCAGAAGCATGCGCACCCGCTGCGAGCGCTGGCCAGTGTGCCACCCCGCCAGAGGTGGATCGGAGAGCACCCGCCCCTCCTGCCATGCCCTGACGAGCGCTTGCCGGCCCTCCTCTCTCAGCTCCGATCTCTTCCAGCACCACAGTTGTCGCGGAATTCATCCTGCACGTCTGAAGGGAGAGGAGGAGGAGGAGGAGGAGGAGGAGGAGGAGGAGGAGGAGGAGAGGAGGAGGAGGAGGAGGAGGGAGGAGGAGGAGGAGGAGGAGGGGGGAGGAGGAGGAGGAGGAGCAGGAGCAGGAGCAGGAGCAGGAGTACGATGCGGAGGGGGAGGAGGATGCAGGGAAGAAGGAGGACGATGACGAGGAAGAGGAGGAGGAGGAGGAGGAGGAGGAGGAGGAGGAGGAGGAGAAGGAGGAGGAGGAGGAGAGCAGGAGGAGGAGGAGGGGGAGGAGCAGGAGCAGGAGCTACCCTCCCTCTCCATGAAGCCGAGGCGATGCCAGGGACGCGCGGTCGCGTGGCGGCGCCGACGACCGAGGCGTTGGTCGGGGAGTGAGTGCGCGGGTGGGTGAGGAGAATTCGGGAGGGGGGGTGAATGGCGGAGGGGAGACGTGGGGGGGGGAGAGAGGGCAGCGGTTCTTGGAAACGGCATGGCCGTTTTATTTTACCGTTCCCAGGAAATCTGGATCTTGAGAACGATAAGGGTAAAAGAACGTTTCGCCAAAACAGGACTAACGGCTCCGGGATGAAACTGGAGCTGGAACCAAAACACATCGGCGACAGAACGGGAGAAACAGACGGCGCCGGCACCAGGGGAAAAAGTGCAAAACGAAAATTGCAAGCAACAATTGATTTGTCATTTCAAGAGCGACTGAGGGCGTGGTCAACTTCTCCGCCCTCCCTGCACGTCACCTATCCCTCTTCGTTGCCCCTCCCACGTGGGACGCAGATGGCTGCTGCACGTGCTTGGTAATTGTTGGGCTTCCTGAGGCCTTTGTAGAAGAGCTCTGAGAGGGTTTCGGAGGAGCCAGACAGCGCCCCAAAGGGCCCCACGAATGCCAACATGTGACCCATGACTCCCCATGACTGCCCCAAGAGGGCCCTCAGAGAGCCATATAGGGCGTCTGTAGGACCCTCAGATGGCCTTTGAGGGTCCCAAGGCGGCGCAAGACGCCCCATCCCATACCTACGGACGACGATCGCGCCGAGAGGTCGCAAGAGACTCGCCTGGATGGCCCAAGAGGGCCCATTAAGAGGCCGCAAGAGGTCCCTAAGAGGACCCCAATATGGGCCCACGGTCCCACGACAACCCCAAGATGGCCGCGCGAGGGCTTCACGACGGATGATGATCAGCAGAAGGAGGAGGAGGAGGAGGAGGAGAAGGACAGAACATGCGAATGAGCAGACATACAGATAACAAGCGGAAGGGGAAGTGGACCCCTTTCTCCCACCACCTTGGACCTCATCCTCCCGTCTTCCTCACGGTTCCGTACTCCATGTCTTCCTCTTCTCAGAGCGTGAATTACTTACCCCGCTTTCGCTTCCAGGCAACACCAAGTCATACCACGCGCCTCCTCGTCAAGCGGCCTGACCAGTACATGCCGTAGTTTGGCATCGTTTGGTATCTCTTGGAAGCGAGGGTGGTCAAAAGCGAGGTAGGTCTGTTTTCTCCCTATCTTCTTTCTGCTCGAATGCCCCCACATGAGCCCGAACACCACTTAGAGTTGTGCTCTCAGCAGCCCGCGCGTTGGCTCTCGGTGAGCGCCCCGCTCCAAGACAGGCAACATCTGAGCACACGCAAATGGCTCGCGATGGACATACAGTCGGGGCCCTGAAGAAGGAACCCTTTTCGTTGGGGAGGGGCTCCGCGTTTCTTGAGTGTTTCGCAGCTTGCCCTGGATTTCCCTCAGGTTCCCGATAGGGAATCGAAGTTCAACTTATGGAAAAAGAGGCCTCGTTCCTTATTCGGGGTTCCTTAGGTCAAGGCCCCGGCTGTATGAAACTTCTGCGCTGAAACGCGTGCATCGTATCGAGCATCATGTTTGCCGTGCTGGGCAGTTGGCTCAATCTCGAACTCTCGTTTGATGCCGCAACAAGGCCCCATTCCACTGAGTCACTAGGTCTCCAGATTTCTACCCAAGTGGAAACACACCGTATGTTACCAGACACTGGTTCATGGCATCGTGCTGTTGAACGCCGCGCTACCGCCCCTGCGACATTGGTAATCCGTTCGCAGTCCTCATCAGCTCCAGGGGTTGGGTGCGGTTCCGTAGATGAGGTCCCACGCTTGCATCATTGTGATCATCGTTTGGAGGTGTCCGCGCCCTCCCCCTCCCTCAACCAGACAGTTACCAGTTTGAAACATATCCCTATCCCTATGCTTGATATCATCTTACCTCGATGCCGATCTTGAGAATTGCCTCAGTTTCTGAGGGCCTGTCCCTAAGATTGTCCTCGCTTTTTGCTCGCCCATATTAGGGATAGGGATACGTTCGAGGCTGGTTAGACAGGAAAAGCCTGCAGTGTGCAGCTTTGCCGCGGCCAGGCTCCCGTGGCAAGGCCACGGGGCTTTGACCCTCCTGGCCGCTCCCAGGTGCGGACCATCCCAGCCATCTCGGGCCTTGAGCCCATGGCAGACCCGCGACCCCGTCACCATTCCAGCTGGCGCTCGCTGCTCTACGCATGTCCTGTGAGAGGGGGGTTTTGGACGGGATGGGCGTGTTGTGGCACTGGGTACGCACTTCAAGGAACTGTTGTTGAAGGTTTCCCGTTGACACTTTTATCGTCTGCACTCCAGCCCCTAATCTCCGTGTATTAACTTCTCATACTTCTCTCACGTTTGACATGACCTCTTCATCCACATGCTTCCTCCCTTTCCCTGTCGTTGTCCTCCTGGTCGCCACACCCCTCCTCCTCCCCCTCCCCCTCCTCCTCCTCCTCCTCCTCCTCCTCCTCCTCCTCCTCAGGCTGGAGAGATCGGAGATTACGGACCCTACTGCTACTCCTCCACTTCCTGCTCAACACCTAGTTCTCGGCATCCTCTTTTATCTCTAAGCAGTGTTTGCACTGAGGGGTGAGGGTGTGACATTTGCATTCTAACGAGCTTGCCCTGTCTGTCGCTCCCCAGTGGCCACTTGTATCTGGGCTCGTACGGCTACCTGCCCCACTGGCCCTGCCAGTTGCATTTTTTCTGTGACTGCCTGGATCCCAGTGGCTTGGTCGTAGATGGATCCTTACGGCTTTCCATCCCACTTGTTTTGTCTGCGCGAGTTCTGCGGCGGCTTCTTGGAATCGTGTGCCGTGACTTCCTATGGGCCTGACTGGTGTCCCCTCCCACTGGGCCTGTCTGTTGAATTTTTCGCGGCTTGGATACCCACGGCGTGGCGTGTTCAGGACCCACAAAGCTGCCCATCACGTCGGCCGAGTCTTCTGCACGTTTCGCTGCGCCTGCTTGGATCACTACGGCTTGGCTTCAAATTGATCCACCACTGGCTCTGTCGGTTGCACTTCCCACGGTGGCTGCCTGGAACCCAACGGCGTGTCTTTCGATGGATCTCATGGTTGCCCTCGACAAAAGTCGTATCTGTTGCTTCTCCAAGTGTCTGTCGTGTTCCTTCGCCTCCCCTCCTCCTCCGCCTCCTCCTCCTCCTCCTCCCGCTCCTCCTCCTCATCCTCCTCCCTCCCTCCCTCCTCCCTCCTCCCTCCTCCTCCCTCCTCCCTCCTCCCTCCTCTTTTTCCTCCTCCTCCTCCTCCTCCTCCTCCTCCTCCTCCTCCTCCTCCTCCTTCTCATCCTCCCACTCCTCCTCCTCCTCCTGCCCGTCATAGGCTTCATCCTGTCGCGTTGCCCGGACAGCCTCCTGCTCCTTCTCTGTACCTCCTGCCCATCGTCCCCTCTCCTCCTCCCTCGCCTCCTCCTCCTCCTCCGCCTCCTCCGCCTCCTCGTCCTCCCGCCGTCCACGACCGTCCCCTGCTCGGCTCGAGCACAGGCCGTCCTCGTTCGATCCCACGGCGCGCCCACGGCCGATCCACACTTACTTCTTTGCCGCCATGGCGCCCCTCGGCCTCACGGCCGCGCTGCTCTCGCTCGGCCCCCCCGCGGCCGACGCGCTGTCTCTGCAGGCCCGCGCGGGCTGCGGGGCCGCCTCCATGGACTTCCCCGCTTTCGTGGACAGGTACCTACGGGGCGTGAAAACGACCACAGCCACTGCTTTTCTTTTGTTGCCGCCTTCCAGCCAGCAGAAACAAAGCAGTGGTTGTGGTCATTTTCGTTAAGCTTGGCACCAGGGAAATGACCACAACCACTGCTTCTTTTTCGGCCGGCTGGAAGGCGGCGCAAACAAGAAGCAGTGGCTGTGGTCAGTTTCCCGTCCCGCAGTACCGGGCTCACCTCGACTCCCCCGGGGCGATGCGACGCGATGTTGATCGATGCCGGTTCCGATTCGATTCGACTCCGGATTCCGATTTGGATTCCGCAGCGGAGGCTTCCCCAGCCTTCGATGTCCGCCCGATGTCTCCCGACTTGGCTTCCGATTGCCGCCGATCCGATGAATTTTGGTCGCCGATCCGACTGTTCGATTCGATTGTGGGCTCTCTTGCAGGTACGGTCGCTCCTACCAGGCTGGCACGGAGGAGTACGCTATGCGCCAGGGGGTCTTTGATCGGCGGGTCGAGCGGATCTCGAGCCACAACTGCGACCCAATGGGCCTCCACACCGCCGAGATCAATCACCTCAGCGACTGGACTCCAGAGGCTCTGGCCGAGTGCCTCCCGCTCCTCGTTTTCCCTGCCATCTTTGTCCTCGCCGTTCTTCTCCCCCCCTCTCTCTCCTTGCCCCCCTCCTTCCCAGTCCTTCCTCCTCTTCATGCTTCCTCCTCTTCTCGTCCTCCTCCCACTTCCTCCTCCTCCCCCCTCCGTCTCCCACTTCCACTCCTCGCCCCCCCGCCTTCCTCGTCCCTCGTCTTGCCCCCTTCAGCGCCTGGCAGGGCGTGGGCCTACGCCTATCCTACGGGCATTCTGATTCGTCTGTTCTCCTCGTCCTTCCCATCCAGAACAATCCCTCCAATCCTTCCTCCTTCTCTTACCAGAGCGGCTCGACTCGCCGTAGATCTTCCGACCCCAGGGAGAGGCCCGGTCCAGTAGCAGCATATAGACCGATCGGACTTCCTCGGTCAACGCTCTGCCTCCTTCTTCTCCCTTTCGATCGTGTCAAGAGAAGTTGTGAGAGCTGGGTTATGCGTATGCTGTCGGAATCGCATGTACCCAACTCGTGAGTTCTCAATCTCCTTCGCTTGCCCGGCAGCCCTCATCCTCTTCCTCTTCCCCCCCTCGTTCCCCATCCTCCCCCTTCTCGTCTCTCCCCCCTTTCTCTCCCTCAGTGGCGTGCGATCCTCCCCCGTCCTGCACGCCCCTCGCTCTTCGGAGGAGCTGGCCAAGCTCCGGGGCCACAAGTCCCGCCGGGGCCAGGGGCCCGTGGGGCTCGGCCAGACCACGGTGCTGCTGGCGAAGCGGGGCCAGGGCAAGGAGCAGCTCACCCCTCAGCGGACTCCGCCCGGCCGGCTCCAGCCCTCCTCCAGGTCCCCCCTGGGGAGGCGCGCCGTTGAAGGGGGACAGGAGATGTGTACGTGTCGGCCCTCTGCGAGCCCATGGGGGGGCTCGACAAGCTCGCCTCGAGGCGGTCCTCGGAAGGGTTCCCGGAGGAGGAGGAGGAGGAGGAGGAGGAGGAGGAGGAGGAGGAGGAGGAGGAGGAGGAGGAGGAGGAGGAGGAGGAGGAGGAGGAGGAGGAGGAGGAGGAAATAGAGGAGGACGGCGACCCCCCCAGCTCTCGTGTCGCCCCAGCTCTCGTGTCGCCTGGGGGGGCTCGGGGCTGGCGCGCGCCCGGGGCCTCGCAGCCTGGGCATCAAGGACGGAGAGCTGCCCCTCCTCGAGGCGGCGGCGCGAGAGCGCGAGGATGGCCGGCGCCCTCGCGCACCGCGCGGGGCGCAGCGCGACGCGCAGGGTGGCCTTGCCTCGCCGTGGATCGCCACCGCCGTCACCGGGGGCATCAGGTTTGGTGCCGCCCGGGTTCCCGCTTTCTTCTGCCCTGAGGGCTCCTGGACTCGCAGGAGCAGGCAGGTTTGTTCGAGGGAGTTCGTCTCGAGGACTCACGTCGCCCTGACTCCCAGCGCGCGAGAGAATGGTCACCCCCGTTTCCGGTAAATTCGGCGAAGAAGTTCAAAGCAGCGCCCTCGCGTGGGGCATCCTCAAAAACCGGCCCCCCGAGCCTCGCCAAGGAGGCCCTCAGAGGGCCCCCCGTTCCGTTTCCGGGAAACCTGGCCACGAATTCCAAGGCGCGCCGGGGCGCACTGGGCGCGTCCCAGTCGAAGGCTCTCGCTCGAGACATCCTCCCAGAGTCGACCCCCGTCGTGCGAGAAAGTCAGGCTCCACCGCGCCAGTGACCATATTTGCGGGGATCTGCTGGCGCGCGCCAGGGCGCATTGGGCGTGTCCCAGTCCAGGGCTCTCGTTCGACACATCCTCGCAACAGTCGGCTCTGACGTGTTCCAATCTGGGGCTCCCGCGCGAGACACCCTCGCAAAGTCGCCAAATCGACACTCGATGGAGGCCCCGAGAACGATGTCGAGGATAAGCAGGGAGGAAGACATAGGAGGACGGATGAGGAGGAGGAGGAGGAGGAGGAGGAGGAGGAGAAGGAGGAAGGAGGGCAGGAGGAGGAAGAGGAGGAGGTGGAGGAGGAGGAGGAGGAGGAGGAGGAGGAGGAGGAGGAGGAGAGAGGAGGAGGTGGGAGGAGGGAGGCGGGAGGTGGGAGGAGGGAGGAGAGGGAGGAGGGAGGAGGGAGGAGGGAGAAGGGAGGAGGGAGAAGGGAGGAGGGAGGAGGGAGGAGGAGGGCTGAGGGAGGCAGGAGGAGGGAGGAGGGAGGATGGTGGAGGGAGGCAGGAGGAGGGAGGAAGAAGAAGGCCACTACTGGTGGGACACCAGTCCGTCAATCACGCCGTCGAAACAAGGATTAGTTTCCGGTATTGCGGGGGTTCTAGTGACCCTGAGGGGTTAGTCAATTTGGGTGCCACTCCAGATCCTGACCCCTGGGCGCCCCAGAGGTCCCCTGCAGACCTCCAAAGCCCCACCCAAATTCCAAAGACGTCAAAAATCCTCGATCCTCGATCGTCGTGGGTGAAACTCGGCACTTGGGGGGGACGGGGCACTGGTGCGGGTCAGGGGCCGCGGTGGTGGTGCAAACTTTTTGAGGCCCTTCCGCGGGGCGTCATGTGCACGTCTGTATTCTGCCAGGGAGCAGATGTTGCGCTCCCCAGGTGGTGGTGGTGGTGGTGGTGGTGGTGGTGGTGATGAAGGTGGTGGTGGTGGTGGTGGTGGTGGTGGTGGTTGTTGTTGTTGGTGGTGGTGGTTGTGGTGGTGGTGATGGTGGTGGTGGTGGTGATGGTGGTGGTGGTGCTCATCCCTCTCCGCCTCCTCTTCGCCCCTCCTGTCCCGCCCCCGTTGTTCATCATCCCTCACCTCCTCCCTCCTTCGTCCGCCCTGGGGCCTTTGACGAAGAGGCGTTCGGTGGCGGCTCTTGCTCAGCCATCGGGGTCAACGATGCGACTCTTTGTCGCGCTGGTTGGGCTGTTGTGCAACTTTCGGAGGACGGCGCTCTCCTTGCTTCACGGTGCGGCCTTTACCCAGGACCCCACCAGGCCTCAGGCCTAGTTCAGGCGTTCGGCCTGCCCATGCATTTGACACGCGTTTCGCTCGGCCCGTTCTGCTACTGTTCTGACTGCGATTGGGTGGTCTCCAGTTTGGCCCGAGGTCGCCTCGAGTTCACTCGATCTCAATGCGAAGCTGCCGGCCTTTGGGGCCAGCTATGGGATCGGGTGGAAGATTTGGGTGGGTTGGCGCCAGTGCAGTTGGTCAAAGGTCATGCTCACCGTTTCTAGGACAGCGAGGTCGAGCGTGGCGCATTCAATCGACGCGGGAATCATTTTGCTGATCGGGGCGCCCGTGCGGGCGCCAAGCTCCTCCTCTCGGACCCAGCCGCCGAAGCTCGGCTTGCCCGCTCGTTCAGACTCTTGACTTCTGTGGGCCAGTTCCTGGCTCGGACCCCTCAGGCTGTGGGCCCCCAAGTGACCCCTCCCCGACATGGCCACCTTCGACTCGCGAAGCGGCGTGGTCGGATCCCGACCCTGACTGAGGACACCGAGCCGCCTTTGGGCTCACACGTCCCTGTGCCGGCCGCTCGTGGTGTCGGATGCCCCCGCTGCTTCGGGGCAGCTCGTGCTCGAGACGCCTTCGTTCCGTCCGCCTGCTCTGCTGGAGGTGGCCAGCGCGTTTGTAGTGTCTGCCCTTTCTTTACCCACTGGTCGTTGAACGTAGGTAGTTCTGGAGTCCCCTATTCGAATGGCTTCACCTTTTCCGTCCTCTTTAGGGGGCGGGCGGACACCCAATCTACTTTCAACGCCTTCTTTCTTCATGTTTACTACCCACTTCTTCCGACGCGTGGGTAATTGTGCTCGTTGTGGGGCCCACTCTAGGGACAGTGTCTGGCGTTTAGGCGAGCCTTGCCGTGGACGGGGCTCCTTCTAAGACCCGTCCCCACCTCGAGTGGCTCCTGGCGGGCACGGACCCCGCACTTCGTGCTTCTCTGCATCCTATTGCTCAGGCTCAGCTGAAGCCTCGTCCATTCGGCGAGGTCGTCCTCGACGCCAGGTTTGGCGGTCTCTGGGTGGAGACCAGCCACGTCGTCTGGCGTCGGGGACGACCTCGTCCACGTTCGGCGAGGTCGTCCTCGATGCCAGGTCCGGCGGCCTCTGGGGGGAAGCCGGCCACGTTGAGATAGACTGGTGTCGTGACCCTCTCTCGTGCTGACACTCCCTGCGTTCGCGGGGATGTGCCCGAGGTCCCCGTTTCAGTCGGCTTTCGCCTGAGTCCGCCAGCGTTGCCCCTCGCACGTTTTCGGCCGCTCCTGGACATCAATCTTCCCACTTCTGCCCGGATTTGCAAACAGGAGGGAGAAGGGGGTTGGTCGTAGCCGCGCAGCGTCGGCGCTGGAGAGCGGTGCGTAAACGGGCATCGGAGGTGTTTCCGATTGGGTGGGTGGGCAACTTGACCCTTACACCATCTTGCTAAGGCGGCCGCCAAATGGGAATGCCAGGGAGGAGGTTTTGCTGCCGATGCGGGCAAACGGCGTGGCACGTGCAGAGGACCTAGAGACGGAGAAGGGGAGGCAAGAGCGGGAGGGAGCAGCGGGGGGGAATGAGGAGGAAGGATGCAAACACATGACAATCGCAATCGTTCTACAAGTGTCTTCACCCTCCTCCTACTCATCGCTTCTCCTCCTTCTCGCTCCTCTTCGCGCTCCTCCCCCTCCTCCTCCTCCTCCTCCACCTCCTCCTCCTCCTGAAACATGCAAGCAGCAGGGTACCCTTGCCCTGGCTGCTGGGCCAAGTGAAATCTAATCGCCGCCCTGGACTGGAGGGACTGCGCGCGAACCAGATTAATTTGTTAGTTCAGTTGCCAGCACTTGTCACCACAGCCACTACCACCACCACTGGCAGGAGGTGGAGGAGGTGGAGGGAGGAGGAGGAGGAGGAGGAGGAGGAGGAGGAGGAGGAGGAAGAGAGGGAGGAAGAGATGGAGGAGGAGGAGGAGGAAGGTCGTCAGCGTTCATCGGCCGCCCCGCCGCCCGCCGAACCGGCCGACCGCCGGGGGGCCCGGGGGAGCGTGGAGGGAAGGGGGGGAATGCGGGGAGGGGGGGGTAAGGTTGATAAAACCGTGTGTGTGTGTACCACCTCGGTTTTTGGTCTATTACTTCTGATGTGCTTGCTTTCCTGTTGATTATGCTTTTCGTCATCTTTAAAGGGATTGCTCAAAGTAGTGGAATGCAGAACGATTCCTGTTGTAGCACATTTTAAATTGAGTTCTTTTGTGGGTAATTAAAAGGGAATTCTGTTCATGGTGAATTACAAATTGTTTCCTTTTGTGGCGGATTACACAAGGATTCCTTTTGTGGAGGATTACAAAAGGATCCCTTTTGTGGACGATTACAAGGGGATTCCCTTTGGTGGAGGAATACAAAGGGATTCCTTTTGTGGAGGATTACAAGTTGATTTCCTTTGAGTGCTTTCCTGGAAGTGAACCAGGGGACAAAAGAAAACCAAAAAAAAAAAAAACAGAAAATCGTTGAAAATTAAGAAAATTGCAGGTTTTCAATGATTCTCCAATGCTTTGAAGCAAAAACATAAAAACACAGCATTTTCACAATCCGAATGCAAACATGCTGTGTTTTCATATGGTTTCGGCCTCAAAACCTTGGAAATGCTGTGTTTTCATATGTTTTTGCTTCAAAACATTGGAAATTCATTGAAAACCTGCAATTTTTTTAATTTTCAAAGATTTTATGTTTTTTTTTTTTTTTTTTCTTTTGTCCCCTGGTTCACTTCCAGGAGAGCCCTCAAAGGAAATCAATTTGTAATCCTCCACAAAGGAATCCCATTGTATTCCTCCACCAAGGGGAATCCCTTTGTAATCCTCCACAAAAGAGATCCTTGTGTAATTCACCACAGAAGGGTTCCCTTTTGTAATTCGCCACAAAAGGAATCATCATGTGATCCTCCACAAAAGAAGTCCTTTTGTAATTCTCCACAAAAGGAATCCTTTTTTAATCTGCCACAAAATAAAACAATGTGTAGTTCACCACAAAAGGATCCCCTTTTGTAATTCAACAACAAAAGAAATCAATTTGTAATCCGCTAATGTTTGTTTCGGGCCTCCGGAGGCCGGAGAATCGAGATATTAAGGCTTATTAATCTCTCTGGAACGCGCTTCGGCGCTCACCCACTGGAAGTAAGAGGGGTGAGGGGGAAGAGACGGAGGTGGAGGCGGAGGAGGAGGAGGAGGAAGAAGGGTAAAGAGAGGATGACTTTAGTCTGGTGGGCTGTGCTTCCCACTCGATTATGCTCTGTGGAACTCATTATGACAACGCATTGCTCCCAACGCATCTCGTCAACACCATCATCATCAGCAACATCTTGAAACGCATGCTCGTCATCACCATCGTCATCAGCAGAATCTTGAAACACATACTCATCATCATGATCGTCATCAGCAGCATCTTGAAACACATGCTCGTCAACACCATCGTCATCAGCAGCATATTGAAACACATGCTCGTCATCACCATCGTCATCAGCAGCGCATTGAAACACATGCTCGTCATCACCATCATCATCAGCAACATCTTGAAACACATGCTCATCATCATCATCGTCGTCAGCAGCATCTTGAAACACATGCTCGTCATCATCATCATCGTCATCACAAAAGACACCCACCTCTCATATAATCGTACTACAGATGGATCCACTTCCGAGAGAATCCTATTACATATGGATCCACCTTCCATAGAATCCGATTAGGAATGGATCCACCCCTGATAAGATCCCACTACAGATGGAACCACCTTTAATATAATCCTATGACATATGGATCCGCCTCTCATAGAATCCCATTAGAGATGGGTCCACAACTAATGGCATCACATCAGAGATGGATCCACCTCGAATGGAATCCTGGTATGGATGGACCCACCTCTAATAGAATCCTTTTACAAATAAGCCCACGTCTGATAGAACGCCCTTACATATGCGTCCACCTCGAATATAATTCTATTAACGATGGATCCACCTCTGATAAAATCAAATTAGACATGGATACACCTCTAATGGACTCCAATCACATATGGATCCACCTCTAATAGAATCCTAATAAGATGATTCCATCCCCAATGGCATGCTATTAGAGATTGGTCCACCTCTAACAGAATCCTGTGACAAATGGATCCACCTCGAATGGAATCTTATTAAGGATGGACCCACCTCTAGTAGTATCTGATTAGAGATGGATCTAATGGAATCCTAGTGCGGATGGATCCATCTCTAACAGAACCCTATGAACGATTGACCCACCTCTAATATAATCCTATCACACATGGGTCCACCTCTGAGAGAATCCTATTAGGGATGGGTCCACCTACCTCTGATGGGGTCCTACATGACATGAATCCACCTCTAATAGAATACTAGTACATATGGATCTACCTCTAATAGGATCGTAATACAAACGGGACCACCTCCAATTCAATCCTACCAGAATCCTGATACAGATGGGTCCACCTCTAATGAAATCATATTACAGATGGATCCACATCTACCAGAATCCTGGCACTGATGGATCCATCTCTAATGGAATCCGACTACAGCTGGATCCACAATTGATGGAATCCTATGAGAGATGGGCCCATCTCAACTGAAAGTCTATTACATATCGATCCGCTCCAAATGGAATCCTAATAGAGATGGGTCCACCTTTTTAATATAATCCTGCTACACATGGATTCACCTCTAACAAAATCCTATTACATATGGATCCACCTCTAATTGAATATTATTAGAGATGGGTCCACCTATAATGGGATCCGATTAGACATGGATTCACCTGTAATGGAATCCTATATGAGATGGATCCACCTCTAGTGGGGTCTTATTAGCGATTGATCCACCTCTAAGATCATCCCATTCCAGATATTTCCACCTCTAATAGAATCCGATGAGAGATGGATCCACCTCTCATAGAATCTTAGTAGCGATTGGCCCACCATTTACACCCCCTCCCTACAGAAGGTTTTCTTTTGTGGCGGATTACGAATTGATTTCTTTTGTGGCAAAGTATACAGTGATTCCTTTGGTGTCTGATTACAAATAGATCCCTTCTGTGGCGGATTACAAATCAATTGTGTTTGTGGCGGGTTTCAAATTGATTCCTTTTGTGGCGGATTTGAAATGGATTTCTTTTGTGGCGGATTACAAATTGATTTCAAGGATGATGATGCTGGTGATGGCGATGCAACGCAGCAAAACGAGGTGGGACGCACACGCGGTTTTATCAACTCCGCGGGAGGGGGGGGGGGGATTGCGGGGCTTCTGAGGCCAGTCCCGACGGACTTCTCCTGGGGCCACCTGGCCGCCATCAAGGCCAACAGCAGCGAGCAGGGCTCGTGCGGCAGTCAGGGGCGGGCTGAAACCGCCCCCTTGCAAGCCAGCCCCTCCCGTTCACCCCCGAGACCCTCTGGCCATGTGCCCACCTCTTGGAGAGGGGCGGGGGGGGCAGTCGCGAGTGGGGGCGGTTCTGGCCGCGCCCGAGGCAGCTGCTGGGCGCACGCTTCCCGGCTCGCCATGCAGTCCCGAGCCGAGGTCAAGGGGCTGACGAGCATCGGGTGGTCGGCCCACCAGCTCATCGCGTGCACGCCGAACCCGAAGAGTTGTGGCGGCGAGGGCGGCTGCGAAGGAGCCACCGCCGAGCTCGCGTACGAGTACGTTCTGAACAAGGGCCTTCTGCAGGAGTCCGAATACATCGCCAAGGCTGGGGACGACCAGCACGCGAAATGTCCCACAGAACTGGGAGTGTCCACCGAAGTGGCCACCAGGGGTATCGTCGGCGCTGACGGCAGCGAGGCGCACCATGGAAAAGCAAAGATGGCTGGCCGCGCCCTCGGACTTATCGGATGGACGAAATTGCCCGAGAACAAGGAGGATGCGATCGTGCGGGAGTTGATGACCAATGGTCCGCTGTACGTCGCGGTGGCCGCTGGCGACGGCTGGTTCGACTACAGCACTGGCGTCATGACGGAGGACTCGTGCGACCATGACTTCGTCGTGAACCACGCGGTGGTCCTCTTCGCCTGGGGCGTCAAGCAGAAGACGGTGCGCGGCCCGGTCAAGTACTGGCAGATAAAGAATAGTTGGGGCCCGCAGTGGGGAGAGAACGGCGCCCAGGGACAACCGTCATAAACATCAGCCCAGTCTTCTTCCCCTCTTCCTTCCCCCCGTCTGTGAGGCCGCAGCTCCTTCGAGGTTGAATGAGTCGTCATCGGCCCGCTGCATGTCCTTGATGCAAGTCTGGCATGTGCTGCCGGCTTCAGCATCACAGGGCCGCGCGGCTTCGCAATCCGGCCAAACAGCTCGTGCCAGACCTCCCTGGGAGTGGCCACAGAATTCCCCCCCCACACACACACCCGCTCCGCCCCCTAGACGACTCAGGAGGGGGGCCGGGAGTGGGGGGGAGGACGGGACCAGTGCGGCCGTGGCGAGGGCCCTCCGAGGCACGGGCCGCTTCATCCGGACGGACAACGAGGAGAAGGTGTGCGGCTGGGACGAGAACCCCCAGGAGGGCTCGGGCTGCGACGGCGGCCCCGACAGGGTGCTCTCGCGGGGACCAAGCAGCGAACAATCTTTTGCATAGGAGATCGACTACAAAATCGATGTACCCCCCAGATTGGTTTCCTCGTCGAATCCATGGACAAAAATACTATAATGTTCGTAGATCTACGTCGCCTTCTACGAATTGTTCATAGATTCGACGAGAAACTGAATTTTGGGGTAAATCAATTATGTGGTCGATCCCTTAGTCAAATTTTCAGCAGACGTCGCCGATCTCCGCGGGCCCCCTCACCACCAGCCTGGAGCACATCCCGATCCCCATGCGTGGCATCGCCTCCTCTCGATGCGCATCCTGGGGAGTCCATCGGTTTCTGAGGGCCCACCCCTGAAGAGGAGTGTCGTTGCCATCTGGCCTGTCAGCCCTACAGTCGGTGCGCTGAAGAAGGAACCCTTTTCGTTGTGGAGGGGCTCCGTGCTCCTTAATTGTTTCGCAGCTTGCCTCAGGGGTTCCTTCTGTTTTCGATGGGAAATCGAAGTTTCACTTTGGAAAAAAAGGGGCCTCGTTCCTTATGTAGGGTTCCTCAGGTCGACGCCCCGACTGTATCCTGACCCCCACGAGTGGCACCGCCTCCTCTCGAGGCGCATCCTTGGGGAGTTTTTATCGGCTTCTGAGAGCCCACCCCCGAAGACTGTCGCTGCCATCTGGCCTGTCCGCCCTCGGGGCGGGGATGCCGTCGGGAACTCCGGGACAGCGCGTGTCGGGCCGCCGGCTCCGGCCCCTTCGCGCCTCGGCGCGGCACGCTGTACCCCCCTCCCCTGGTGCGCAGGCGCCCAGGTGCCGAGCCGCTCCCGGCCACCCGCCAAGCGGGGCGGAGCGACGCGCTGTCCGCCCGCAGGGCGCAGCGTGTCGCGGGGGCCGCCGCGGCCACTGCGCGCTATCTGAAAAGCTCCCGGCCGCAAGCTCGAGGTTTTGTGGCTCCCTGCGCTCCCCCCCTGGGGCTCGGGGCCGCCTGGGGGGGAAGGGGCCGCCCGCGGACCTCCCGAGCGCGTTCCCGTGTGCTCTCGTGGGAACTTGCCGCGCCCTGGTGCGGCCTCGCGTCTGGCCCTGCCGCTCCCACGTCGCTGCCCGTGTGTAACCCTGTGCCCTGGCACGCGCGTGCACGACCTGCATGGTCTGGGCCTGCTCCGCCGCCCGCGGCCCCTCCCCCTGTTGACCAGCCTGGAACGCATCCCTGTCCCCATGCTGGGCACCTCCTCATCACGATGCCAATCTTAAGGATTCCCTTATTTTTCGAGGGCGAATCCCTAAGATTGTCATCGCCTTTTGGCGCGTCAACCTTAGGGATAGGGATACGCTCGAGGCTGGTAACCTGTGCTCCTTCGTTCTCCTCCCTCGTGGGCCAGACTCGGCTCCGATGCCTCCCTCGGCTGCCTCGACCGCGTCTGGGACCCACGCCGCCGCCGACAGAGCATGGCCGTGTGCTCGTCGGCCCCGGGCCTCGAGCCGAGCGGCGTCTTCTGTTGGCGACGTCATGGGCCATCTTCAGTTCGCTTTGCAGCAAGGGCGGAACGGAGGCATCGGGGGTGGATAGACCTCCTACCCTGACACGTCGATTTGCGAATCGTCCGTTTTCGGTTCTCGAGAGGGCGCCGCGGCCGTTACTGTCCAGGCTTGCGCCCGCCAGGTTTGGGCCCGAGGTCCTTTCCACCAAACCACGTCTTGCTCAAGGGAGACCTGCCCATCCCCGGAGGCAGAGCGAGGGAGAACAACGAGCACGGAGCGGGAGAACGGACGGCACCGCTCCGCTCGAGCCCTGCTCGGCCCACCTCCCCGGCGCCCGTGCATCGGGAGGGGACTTCTTAGTGGGCCCCGGAAACGGCAGGGCCGTTTTTTCACCGTTTCCGAGAAAATGTCCCTTGAAAATGGAAACGGCAAAAAAACGGCGACGGGAAACGGCAAAAAAAACGGCTCCAGTAGTGGAACCAGAGCCGGAACCGGTCAACAAACGGCGACGGAACCGGTGAACAAAACGGCGTCGGAACCGGCAAGAAAACGGCAACACGGAACAGGTAAAAAAACGGCCCTGTCGTTTCCAGGGCCCATCAAGGGAGGGGAGGCCTCCGCAGGCCCGCCCCGGGCGCCCGCGGCGGCGGCGCTCCCGGCCGAGCTCCGGGAGGCCGCGCCGCCCACCCGGGGGTCCCAGGGCGGCCCAGGGGCAGGTCCAGGGAGGCGGCGGGGTGGCCCCGAAGCGCTGCCCCCTCCGCGTGTGGGCCGGCGTTGCACCACCGCTGCCGCCGGCAGGACGGGGGAGAAGGGAGCATGGGGAGGTCCCCCTCCTCCTCCTCCTCCTCCTCCTCCTCCTCCTCCTCCTCCTCCTCCTCCTCCTCCTCCTCCTCCTCCCCCTCCTCCTCCTCCCCCCCTCCTCCTCCTCCCTCTCCTCCTCGTGTTTTGTCTTTTCTCCTCCTCCTCCTCCTCCCCTCCTCCTCCTCCCCCTCCTCCCCCTCCGCTTCCTCCTCATCATCCTCCTCCTCGTGCTTTTCCTTCCTCTCCTCCTCATCCTCCTCCTTCCTCTCCGATTCCCTCTTCATCCTCCTCCTCGTGATTCTTCTCCTCCTCCCCTGCTCCTCCTTCTCTGCCCTCCTCCTTATCCTCTTCCTCCCCCTCGTTCTCCTCGTGCTTCGTCCCCTCCTCCTCCTCATCCTCCTCCTCCTCCTCTTCCTCCTCGTCCTCTTTACTCCTCCTCCTCCTCTTCCTCCTCCTCCTCCTCGTGTTCCTCCTCCTCCTCCTCCTTCTCCTCCTCGTGATTATTCTCCTCCTCCCCTCCTCCTCCTTCTCTTCCCTCCTCTTTCTCCTCGTGCTTCCTCTTCTCGTCCTCCTCCCTCTCCTCCTTCTCTACCTCATCCTGGACAAGGATCGCTGCGATCACTGCGGTCAGGCGTTAGATACGCCATTTCACAGGCTCTGGGAGTGTCCTTGCCATGACGAGCTCAGAGCCGAGCTGATCGATCAAGCTATCCTCGACACCGCTTCCGCGGCCGATCCGTCGGCCCCTCTGACGGAGCGCCTGCTTTGCAGGGGAGTTTCCCTCCTCCCTGGCGACATGTTCCCTCGGCCCCTAGTGCGGTCCCAAGATTTCGGGGCGAAGGTTGTTTGGCACGTTCCCCCCCTGATGATGGCAGTTCCAGCGGTTCTTTGTAGATGGGTGCTGTTTCAAACATCATGTCCTGGAGCTTTCGAGGGCTGGGTATGGTCTTTGTTTGGTTGACGAGGACGGGGCTGATCAGTGTATAATTTTCGCGCCTATGTTCGCTCCCTTCCCGCAGACGCCACAGTGTGGTGAATTCACCGCTCTGGCGAGAGCTGGGGTAGAAGTTACTGGACCGCCCTCGGTGTATAGTGGTTGCATAAATGTTGTCGGCCTTGCCCAGGCCCCCAGTTTTCATTTAAGCGCCCCCATGCTGTTTCCATGATCTTGTTTCAGCAAGATTCTCATAATATCTCGGAGGTTTGTAAAGTCAAGGCCCACTTCGGCCCAAACGCGGCTGGATTAGAATCCCGGGAGAGATGGCGTAGGCTAGGAAACGATTTCCGCTGACAGAGCAGCGAAGGCAAGAGCTAATCTTCACCCTGTAGCTTCGGAGCTAGAGCAAGAGGCGTTAAAGTTTAGCATCCGAGTGTCCAAGGTGGTTTGTAAGTTGGCGGGCAACTTGTTGCAGCACTGGCCGAAACTCGATCTGTCTGAGTGTGAGCGTGCACCAGTGGCGGCTGAGCGCCTGAGC